TTACCCATGAAAATCTATCCTCATGTAGGATCTGTAGCCCTGCAACCACTGAACCAGAACCAACAATACCAGAAACAACTAGAAATTTGTTCTGGTTATGTGTTTCATCTTTTTTGTGTGGCCAAAGTGAGAAACAGTGTAATCATGAGTCTGATTAAAGCTTTGTAATTGTTCTAGCACCTGTTCAACTTTGCTGATGAACAACACACATGTGACATACTAAACTCCAGGCAGGATTTAACAAGTAAGGTATATCAAACACAGGCTCTGTTATTGTCAAGGTTTCTAGGTGTGGTTGCAGCTCAAGTATAATAAGATCATTTACATCTCTCTGAGTCAGTCACCCACTCTCCTGTCTGTGTCTCCTTCCACGTCAGACGTGGGCAAGAACATTAACACTCTATACATAGCACAAATCTGAGCAAAACGGAGTAGATTTCAGGAGAGTGGTAGATAATTCAGGGAGAGCAAATCTTCCTTTTATGAAGTAAAATGAACAGAGGGAAAACTATTACTGAAATACACATCTACAAAAATGAAAAAATTAATTTTTGAACACGTTTATGAATTCCAAGACAACTGTACCCTTTAACCATTTTATTTATGACATTTTCTAATTTGCCCTCATTGTATGTGTGTCTGTGAGTGCCAAGTGTGTTACCTCCCCACACTACAGGTTAGAGAGTGGAAGGAATTAGACTCCAGAAAGTTCCAAACCTAGAAAAGTCAGAAAGCTGGCAATCACACATACCCCTAAAGTTTATAAAATTCTAGTAGAAGTCTAGTCCAAAATTTAAGGGAATAAGAAATGCTACTACAGTAAGCCACAATACAGGAGTAAGCGTCCTCTATTTGTATTTTTCTTAGTCTGTCTTTCTCTGTTCTCCAAACAGAAGTTATCTGTGACATAGATTTTTTTTAAAATTTCCCCTTCAACTGTAAGTGCATCAGTTCAGTTTTTATACTGCAATGATGCAAATTTCAAACCGGAATTACAACTAACACCCTAACCACTTTTGATTCTCATTCAAACCAAGTACACGTGGATCCCTTTCACTTACTAGCCAATCTTTAAAAGAACAAAAATATTGAATACAATATTTGGGTCATTTTCTCCACACTTTTTCCTCCAGACTCTATAAATTTTGTTACGATGGGGCTAATCAATAAATGAGAACATCACATTCCATATGAGAAAAACTGCCACTGTTCTACAATACACTCACAAATATTTTTAAGTCAACCAGAACCAAAATAAAATCTCTAAAATACTTTTCCACAGTAGGGCACAGAAAGATCATGAGTATTTTGTCTGGTGAAATATAAAGAGGAGATGATATAGGAAATAAAGTGCTCACATTTTAGGAGATAATGTGGACAGTAAGTGGGTTGATGTATCAACCCCAATTGTTACTTTCCAATCTCCTGAGCCATACACAAGTCTGAGCTATCATCAAGGAAATTTCTTCATCCACCCGAACTCTGAAACCTGACTTTCCTGAACTAAAACTAACATCACGTCCAATATTCTCTCAAGTTCGTACAGCACATGTTGCTGCAAGGAGATGGTACCAGTGAGGAGGACCTCTGGGATTCCTCCAAAACTCAAGGGCTAGGTTCTTTCATAAACCAACTGAGGAAAACTACTTATATCAAGCAAGTTCCATTATCCAAATTTAATCACCATGGGGTTCATCAAAATTTTCAACCAACTCTCATAATGTGTTTAAATGGATATATTGCCACATTTTATGCTTCAGGAAACACTCAAAGAATGACACTTGCCTTAGAGAACTCCAGAGGCCCGTGAGGGATGCTTATCAGAGGGGATGCATCTTCAAATGAAAGTCAAACAAAACTGTTCCACAAAAAATTTAGAAGTATTTTTAAATGGATTTTTCCTTATGTCTGAGGCCAAGCTTACTGGTTCTCTAGTCAATCAATCGAAATTAAGTACAACTTTCCCAAGCTCTGTGATCAGCTGTATGGAACGCCTCTTTTTGCTCAATCACCTGTAGCTGGATCAGTGAGGAAGTGTATAAAAAATTGTACCCCAAGTAAGTCCGTGTAATTTAGTCAGAGTACCAAAAATCATTATCAAAAGTCTGGCATGCCTTAGTCTGAAATACCTTAGCACTAAAAACAAAACAAAAACCAAAAACTTCACAATTCAAAAGCTCAATTAACCTATAATAAATCTCTTAAATTACTTCAATGTTTCAAAAATATTCTTTGTCCTTAGATAGCAGAAGTTTTTGATGGGTTTCCTTATCCCGCATGATACTGACAAAGGAAACTGAAATGACTGATGGCAGGTGGAAAGGAAGATAACAGAAAAGAAGTTTAAAAAGTTACAAACTTGACAGAAACACTGTAATTCAAGCCCCGGAAGTACTCACAAATAGACTTATTTGATATAGATGGCATTGTCAAAGATTCTACAAAATCATCAACCCTGCAAAAAATCACAGTTGACACGTTAAAGTTGTACTGATTCTTTCCACATTTATTAATGCAAATTTCTCTTACCAACTCTTTTCCTTTTCTGTGTTCTCCAAAGGAAAAGACCGCATATGTTAAATTGCTGTTTTTAAATTCCAGAACATAAAATTAAGGGCATTTAAGGAACTGTGGAAAATGCAAAGTTTATAAAATAATTTTTAATCATTCACAGCTTCCTACCCAGAGATTTTGTTCTATTTCATTCTAGACTTTTATATACACATTTGAAAGTCCATGATTAAAGATATAAATATATATATTTAAATGTAGAAGACATATATAGGAATGTTCACAGGAATGATGTTTGCAACAGCAAAAAACTAGAAACAACTAAAATATCTGCCAACTGGTGAATGAACTAATAAACTGAGGTGAATTCGTGCAATGGAATGCTAGAGCAGCAGGAAAACAACAAAGAACTACAATAACAGGCATCAGCAAGAACGAACCTCATAAACAACCCCGAGCTAAAAAGAAAAAAAAAAAAGCAAGTCACAGGAGAATACATACAGCATGATTCCACCTCTAAAGTTCAGAAACTTACAAAAACTAAATAATATTTTGTTTGGAATATATACAAACCATAAAGCAAAATTAGGGTGAGTAACAAAATTCAGGATGACAATTACATTAAGGGTGAGGTAAAAGTAATGGGACAGGCCCACAGGGCCTTCAGAGGTATTTTAAGCTTTTAGTTCTTAAACTAGATCATGGACAATGTATTGCTCTTCCTTAAACTGTGCACACACATAATACTCTTTTGTATGTGATATCCCAAATAAAAATGCAAACAGCTTGTAAGACCTATTCAACTCCAGAAGAAAACCATACCAATTACCTATACTGACCAACCTCAACACCCACATTAACTGTGAACAACCACAAATGACATCTGAGGAAACCCAACAGAACAGAAAAAGTAGGCCAAGATGGACCACTAGAAAAACATGCCCCAAAGGAAATATGAGATATCTCAGGAATAGAGGGGGAGGAGGGAACGGGAAGGGATAAACTGGGAGTTCCAGATGTGCAAATACTAACTACTACGTATAAAATAGATAAAAAAAAAATTTCTTCTGTACAGCACAGGGAACTATATTCATTATCTTCTAGTAACCTATAGTGAAAAAGAATATGAAAACAATTACATGTATGTATATGTATGGCTGAAACATTATGCTGTAAACCAGAAATTGACACATTGTAACTGACTATACTTCAATTTAAAAAAAAAAGTTATTTGTGGAGTTCAGACATTTAGGCTTACTTTGTGCACAACAGAATGAAACCTACTTCTTGTTACACAAAACAATATAAACATTATTCACTGTGATGAGATAAGAACAAATATGACTGCAAAACCTCAGATGGAAAAGAGTGCTGGAAATGGGTACATAATTCACTGTTCATAGCAGAGAATCAAGAGTTGCTTTCTAAAGTTGATATAACATATTGAAAGCTAGACTATTAATGACTGGAACTATAAAACTGATAAAAAGTGGTTACACTTTGGGAAGTGGGACTGGAGGTCGGGGAGAGGAGGCTACTTTTCCATTTCACGGAGTTTTTTTTTAACAATATACCCATGCCATTCTTTTTAATTAATAGGAAAAAATGCATAGTATTCTTATAAGTATTCTCATGCCTCATTTCCACAATAATCTTTAAACAAGACCATCTTTTCACCTGCTTCATAAACACGCACACACACAAAACGGTGCCTCAGGAATGTGAAACCCAGGGAGGGGCACTGAGGCCCTGAAACCTCAGAGCACGTTTCATCTTTACAACCCACTTCCTCTGCTTCTCCCCAGACCCCAGGTCCCCTTGCTATCCTTGGGGCCAGCGTCATTCACAGGAACAACGTGTATGACATCCTGATCACAGTTCTATACAAGCATCACAACTGTGTCCCCTCCAAATTCATGCTGACCACACTACTTTCGGCCTCACGAACACTGGCATTGCTTTCATTGTTTCATTAATTCCTCTCAAACTCCCCTGCAGCTGCTGCTCTAACTCTCTTCACATTTCTCAAAACCCCATGCTTCCATCTTTCTTAAGAATCTTTTCCCTTTAATCTCACACCAATTTCCTCTCCCTAAATCATTTTTTTCAACCAAATCCTTCTTTCTAGTTTCAGAGGGAGAGTTCCTGGTCCCTCCAGTCCCTCCACTCCAGCCAGGCCACAGCCCCGCCATCCTGCTCCTGAATTCACCCACAACTACCCTCCAGGGATCTAATCTGTGCCCAAATCTCCCTAGCCAACTCAATCGTTTCTTTTCTCAGCCTCCTTTCTTAGCCTCCCTAGGCCTATAAAGATTTCCCAGTATCCTCAATTATTAAAAAAAAAATAATAAAGTAAAATAAATAAGTACTCCTCGACTCCGCCCTGGTTCTTGCATTCCTTTTTCCCCAGCTTCAAAATGAGAAGCCTACACTCATAGTTTCTGTGTCCTCATCACTTTTTAATATAGCCTCTGATTCAGCCACAGGACTGGAACTGACTAATCCAATCATCTGCATTCCCTCATCTAATTCTCCTAACCTCTCTATGGCTTCAACACTGTTGAGTATTTATCTCTGTAAAAAGCAGCGCAACTCGCGTCCCACCCAGTCCACCTTCTGTTCTGTGATCACCTCAGCAGATTGGATGATTTCTTTCTCTCACTTCCTGAATACAGGCATTCTCCATTAGCTTCATTCTCCACTTTCCCTTTCAAAGATCTGATTCACCCTGATGAACCTCATGAAGATGACGCTCAAATCCTTCAACTGCTCCAGGACATAATTCACCATTCCTAACTGCCTATTGAACAGTCTACCTGTCCTGCCAGTGCCACAGATTCCATCACGCCCAAGATGATACCTATTGTCTTCTCTCCAGACCAGCACCTCAGGTATTTCTATGTATAACACCAACATACCCTGGGTTCCCCAAAATTAAAATCTGGGCCATCTTTGACTCTGCAGTTTCCAATTTCCTCACATATTATCTTTCTTCCCCTCGGTGTCTTACGACAGGGCAAGTAATGTAAGACACAGTTTCCAGCCTCTAGGAAGAATAAAGAGCAATAAGCAAACAGAAGCATTACAAAAGATAAACACATAGGATGCTGAGGCTGGAGGGGAGGGAGGGACAAAGGGAAGAGGAACTGCATTAGGAGGGGAATTCAACAAGCTGTAAACTGTAAGAGTCAGAACTGAAGTCCTGCCCCCTAACCTTCACTAAGCCCAAGCAATGATAGCACACCTCCTGAATAATAAAGTGTATACATTCGCTTTGAGAAAATTCAACATGTAAGTTTCAACTGAATTAATATAAATTAGGCAACTGATGATTCTCACTATACATGGATTTTCTTTAAATAATAACTGTCTTAATGAATCTAAAATAGGACTTCCTTTCCATACATTTTCATAAACACACTCACAGGTCATCTCAGGAATTAAGAGCCAGGAAGAACTAGACTCTCTCATCTAGCCATTTCACCTCCCAGGGGCTAGGAGAGGTTAAATGACTTGCCCGAGGTCACAAAGCTTGTAAATAGCAGAAATGGGACCTGAACCCAGTGAGCTTTCCCCAGTTACCTCACTCACTGCCTCTGACCTGCTTCTCATCTCAAAATGCTTTCCCAATTGATTCTCATAAAAGGCAACAGAAATGAGAACCCGTGAAGAAGGTCCAGGTGTCAGGTCTCTTTCAAAAGTCTTGAAAGTGCTCTTAGACACACACAAACATAACATAAATTCCAGGAAAACAGGGATCTGGCTAAAATTTAATCCTCTGTAAAAATGAGAAACCGGTCTTCAGCTTGTTGATGCCAAATTGACCCAAAGACTCTCCTGTTCCGTAGGTTCTCCCTAAATACTGATAAAGTCATTTTCTTGCCCCAAATAAAAGCCTAACTGGAGTTCTAACTACTCAACTAATGGCTAAAATACTTAGAACTTGGGAGAGAGAGGGGGAAGCACACAAGGTTCCTGCCCCACCATCAGAAGTTTAGAGAAAATGAATTCTAAGTATTGAGTCAACTGAGATACCAAATTCCAATTAGCAAATCTTAGCCAACCTCTGATTTCACCTTCTGTTAAGAGAAAAAATTTACTTCTCTCCATCTCCAAAAATTGACAGGTGCTTTTTGCATCATTTACCTGCCTTCCCTGATAGGGCAGTTAAGTAAGTGACTAGAATTTGCAACTTGCTCTAAGGAAAACACCCTTTACTCTTAGAATCTGATCCCTTCCTGAAAGATTCTCTGCTCATTTTATAGGAAACATGTTTCAACATGTGAGAAATGCAAAAAACAGAAGTAACCAGCACTCAAGTACCCTATCCTGCCTTGTACCACTTAACTGTCACAGACTGATTTGCAATAATGGCTAGTAAGGTTAATAGCAAAGGAAAAAAAAATCAGCCTCACTGGGTTATTTAATTTCAACGAAAGCCTACAAGACTAAAAGACCCATCCTTACTAATCTATTTTCCCTTAAAGAAAGTTCCCGAGAAATAAGTAGTCTTGATTAGACGGATAATAGAGAATTCTAAACAATTCGGAACTTATTACTAAACAACTGCTAATTGAAACCAAGTGGACACTTTAATATTCTTTAAATTAATTCTAGGTAAAGCCTGCTGAGGTCATTAAGTAGGGTCATGTCTTGTTCTTCATGAGTCACTGTGACACTGTCACATCCTTTCTCACTACCACCTCTGCTTCTGAACAGACAAATCATTTCAGATAACAGGTTGTCAGAAGTTGGGAAAGCAGTTTCCTGTCAAATGAATCAGAAATAAATCACTGGAAAAGCAGCCCGGTTAGAACCAGAGGAGTTGCTAACAATGAGTTACTCTGCTTCACTCAAGGCTCTGTTCATTTTATCTCAAAGAGGAAAGAGTGAGCCTCCCGCACTGTCTCTCCTCCTACTTCCCCAAGATCCAAGGACAGTGTGCTGCTGGCGGAAGGCTCCTGGGGCAGGATGAAATGGCGTGCACAGGGGTGTGTATCCCTTCTCCCAGCTCCCAGCCACTCCCTGCATTCCCGTTTGAGACTGGAGACCTCTTGTCTCACCTACTTACTCATCCTCCTGGGCGCATCCTTACCTCATCTACCCTTTATGTCGCTGACCACAACCTTGTGTGTGCCTACAATTACCTGTCTGTGACTCTCCATGTAAGCACAGTCACTTGAATAGGGGGTGGCTTTTCTGTATGTCTTCACAAAATGTTTCCCAAGGATACACACATGATACTCATTCTTAATTTATTTTTAACTCAGAGAATACTCATAAGACCATCAGGAGAGAACTCCCTCAACTTCCTCCTCCACCATCTGTAAATATCTGCCTCTGCTCCCATCTCTTCCTCCTTTCCTTCAGTCTCAATAGAAAACGAGGCACTCCTGGTATCCTGGATAATCACTCCAGAAGTGCTTACAAGCTCAAACTTCCCTGACTCCTGGATACTGTTCCAGCACATCCTTTCTCCTCTAAATCTCCAAACCCTCCTCTCCAAGACCGCTTACCTTTCCACCCCTCGAACGAACATTCTCAAGTCTCTCCCTTCTTAACATAATTCATTAATTCAGCCATCAAATATTTATTGAACACCTGAGTACCAGGAGCTCTTTTCTACCCTAGAGGTAAAGCAGTGAATAAAACGAAGTTCCTGCCTTTGTGCAACTTACCTTCCAGTGAGAGAGAGAGAAGAGATAAAGGTATCAGCACCTACACCTGTTCTTTCTCTCCCTCGCTTCACCCAGCCAGGCTCCCTAGAGCAGGGCACGCTGCCCACCTCTACTTCCGCTTCCTCTCCCACCTTGATTCCTTACCCTCTCCAACAGGTTTGTGTCCCAGCCCCCACCACCACTGAAACAGCTCAGGCAAAGGTCACCGCCAGTAACCTCCTCCACCTGTAAACCTTGATGGCATTTCCTTCTTTGGCCACACGTACCTCTGACCATTTCTCCGCAAGGTCCTTTCCTTCAGCTTCCCCCTTAAATGGGGGTGCTCCTCTCACTCACCATGCTCTCCTCAGACCACCTCAGCTGTACTGTCAGTGATGCCCACTCAGAACACTGAAAGGAGCATATCCTCAGGCCTTTCTGAAGCGCTCCATACCCAGGGCCAACTCCCCACTACAGATCTCCACCCGCAGGGCCCAAGGACCTCTCCAATTCGGGATCACTGAATTTATTTACCCCAAACAGTTCTTCCCCTGCTTCCTGTACTAGGAACGGGTGGCGTCTTTCCCTCAAGATGCTGAGCCAGAAACCTAGGAGTCAACTTTGGGTCTTCATCAAATCACATGCCCTCCCCTTCTCCACACCAGTCTCAACAATTTTGTCTCCTTAAATACCTCTTGTCATTCCCTCTTCCCCAATCCCACAGCAGAGGCCACTAGCTCATTTCCGTAGCCTCTTTGTCCTGTTCTTATTCATTTACAGTATTCTGCATTGTATTCTATGTGAACGGTGACCCCTGACTGAGTGACACAGGAGCCTGAAACATCCTACTCTAGGCTAATCTCCACCAAGTACAGATGTCGTCCCCGCCTGCTTACAATCCCTCAATGATTCCCCATGACCTACACGGATGCTCTTTAAGCTCTTTCACCTGAAGACAGTGATGGGGGTTAGGGGTGGAGGGTGTAAAAAAGACACAGCCTGAAGAAGCCAGCCACTAGGGCAAAATGTATTATTTTTACTTAAAAATTTTAAATATTATCTTGGATTTTAAATCCTACATTATAATGTATTTATGTTTTAGTATAGCAATAATTTCTCCAAAATGCAATTAAATGGATACTCCAAGAAGAGGTACCATGGTTACCCCATAGCTCTGGGTACCCCTGGCACATCCATACAAACCCCTACTGGGAAGCAAAGACCCACAAGACACAATTTAGGATTCTAACTTCCACCCTTGCCATGTTCTCAGCCCTGCCCACCCGTTCAGGCTTACTGGACCTACTGAGCTTACTCTTTATGCTCTAGTGATGGCTACTAAATCACTCTAATTCCTCAAACCCATGCCTTTCACCAAACCTAAAGTATCCTCCTCCCTCGTCTGTCTTCCCACCAAACTCCTATTCAACTTATGACTCTGAGCCTGACTGATACTCCTTCGAGGAATCCTCCCCAGAATATCACAGGTACACTAATGCCTTTAGCCTGAGTACCCTCAGTATTTTGTACATGCCTTCTATATAGCATTTATTATGCAATAAAGACACTGTTTGCAATCCCTTATCATAATCATCTAAATCATATTTCTTTCAATCTTTGCTAAAATAGGATAATCAATTATTGAGATGTTTCACAAGTTCTATTTCTCGGCCACAAAGAAAAACTTGAAGCTGATGACAGAATAACAAATAAATGCAATATTTGAGATTTTTACTATATTTATCCTATGTGCAAAATCACAATAAATTTAGTGTTTGAACAATGTGTTGGACATAGGTACTCAGAGAGGCACCTGAGAGAAAACAGTAGGAGCTAAAATTGTTGTGTGTGTACAGCTGAACACAGTGTGGATGTCCTCAGAAGTCTAGCTGGCCACACCATTTGCATAAACTAGGATAAACTGAACAAAGGTTTGACTTAGTTCAACAACATTTAGCCAATATTTACCATATGGTTAAATTTCACTTCCCTGGTCTTCTGACATTTTGCAAAAGATGTAACATGGTTAAGAAAAGATGTTGGAAAACCAGACATGGGAAATACTCAGTTTTTCCCAACCAAGACTGACCAATTAAATCAAAATGAAGGTTGCTTACACTATCTGGTCTATAGAAAAACCCACTCAGTCAGCTGGCACCTCAGATCAGATCCCGTGGGTAATGCAGTTGGTCAGGGCAGAAGAAAAAGAATCAACACACAGGCAAAGTACAAGGCAACGCAAGAAGCAGACGTCCCCCGGGGCAGGGAGTAAGGGCACCCAGTGGCGTGGCTCTGGCTCTGGCATGAGCACTCCACCAGGCTTGACCTGTGTCTTCTATAAATTTCTGCATCATAAATATCAGCTGAACTGAATGAGCCAAGCAGCCAAGCAGGCCGATGAAATGGAAAGTTGTCACGCACCATCTGACTGTAAAAGTCACATGGAAAACCAGAGGGTGCAGATACATAGGTGAGGGAAACAAAGGAAAAACATAACCAAATGCCAGGAACCGTCATGGGCCCCGAGTTCCAGCCCTGGCCAGCTTCCCCAGGGGTGCCTTTCCCTTCCTGGCAGAGGCCGAGACAGAGCCAACACTTCTTTACTCTGTAAAGCTGCCACCATCTAAGGAATCCCGTTGGAATCTTCTCCCTGCAAAGTCCATCTGTTCACGAGCAAGTGTCTAATGACAGTCTTCGATTCCAGGCCCTGGGCATCCAGCAGGGAGCAAGACAGCAAGGTCTCTGCTCTCACAGAACTAACATTTTACTGGGGGGGGGGGGAATCAGATAATAAACAAACGAACACACGTACAAGATCATTTCAAATGGTGGTAAGTATTAAGTAGAAGACTTTAAAGAGGAAAAAAAAGTAGAAAGATGAGATGGAGAAAGATGGGAGGAGTTGCTTATTTAAACTTGGCAGTCAGGAAAGGCATCTCGGAGGTCACTTTTTCTTTTTTAAATTGAGTCAGTTTACAATGTGTCAATTTCTGGGGTATAGCATAATGTTTCAGTCACACATATATACATACAGATATTCCTTTTCATATTCTTTTTCATTGTAGGTTACCACAAGATACTGAATATACTTTCCTGTGCTGTACAGTATGAGAAAGTCACTTCTGAGCTGATACAGAAAGGAGGCAAAGTTGAGGCAAGTACAGCTCTTGGAGCAGAGCATTCCCAACGGAAGAAAAGCAAGGAACAAGGCTGGAGGTAGGAGCAAGCATGGTGAGTTCAAAGGAGAGGAAAAGCCTCATCACCTTCAGGTTTCTGTTCAAGTGTCACCTTACAAGGAAACCATCTCTGACTTCCTATTTTAAATTGTACGCACTGACAGGCCCCAGTAACCTCCATCCTTCATTATGACTTTTCTCTATTAGAATTGTTACCATCTGACAGGCAATATGTATTACTTATTTATTTCTGTCTATTACAGAATGGAAGCCCTTAAGGGCAGGGATTTTTGTTATTTTTAACCATTGCTGTACTGCCTGTACCTATGTGGCACAGAGTAGGCACTCGATAAATAGAAGCTAAATAAATATAGGAAAAGAGAACAAGAGAAGGAAGGAAGGAAAGGAAGGGAGGGAGGAAAGGAGGGAGAGATGGTAAAAAGAAAAGAAAGAGTGAGGAAAACAGGAAGGAGAGAAAGTAGAGTCAGCCGGTGTAACTGAAAGCACAGTGGATGAGAACAGGACTCTAGGCCTTGTACACCATGGAATGGGAGTCAAATTTATTTAAAAGATAGACTCCATTGAAGGGACACGGACAGCAGGTAAGGAGCAATGGAAGCTGGAGATGTGGTTACAGAAGCAAGGCCATGATCAGCAATCAGTGATGGAGGGAAGCGGATGCAAGGGTATGTGTCAAGGTAGAACCAAAAAGACTTACTGATGGACTAGATATGGACGGTTGGACTGAAGGAAAGAGAGGAATCAAGAATGTGTCAGTTATTAATGTACTGCTTCTCAGCTCCAAACCTCCACTTCACTGCCCACTCCGTGAAAATTAAGATGGATCCTTTAACTATTTTTCCTTTGCCGGATGCCAAGACGTTAGGCTTTGTCTGTAGGGGCACTGGCAAGACACTGCACGAGAAACAGGCTTTTCTTTCTGGTTCCAGTGTGCTGTTCTTGGCAGGATAAACAGAGTATCAAGGATAATACAGTATCAGTATTTCTGATGTCCGATGGACTTCTGACCAATTTATTTTAAGATCTTTTCTGATTCGAGACAACTGGAGAGATAGCTGATCTAAGCTGTTCAAAATTCTGCATTTTCATAATTATTTTTCTTACATATACAGGATTTGGGCACTTTGTTCTGTTTGCTCATCCTATGTACATGTTAATACCATAATACTTTGAGTATGGTAATTTTAGAGTCTGTTTAAATACACAGTAAAGCAAGGACCACCTCACTATTCTGTTTCTTAATTTTCTTGGCTATTCTAAAACATTTATTCTTCCACATGAACACAGATTGTTTTACCTAATTCCCCACCCCACCCCCAAAGAATTCACCTTTGGAGTTACAATTAATTTCCATTAAATTTATACATATTTTAGTCTTCTCATCCACGAACATGGTATGTATTTCCATTTTTTTCAGATCATCCTCAGCATTCTACAATTTTCTTCACACAGATCCTGTGCCTTTCTGACAACACTTACCTTTGGAAGTATTTTATAATTTTTTAAACACTATTATAAATGAAGTATTTTTCTCCTCACCAAGGCAGTTCATTCCCATACTCCCTCTGCCAACATCCCAAAGATAGCAAAGAATGCTTTTAATTCCCCCTCACTCCCACACTACTCTTTTCCACAGTGTCTGAGTTTTGCTGGTATCATTTAGGGTATTTCATTCGGACAAGGTTTTCTCCTGCAATATGTCTCCTCAATTTCAGTGATCCTTACTTAGCATTTACATTACACACTCCCTGTTACTCTCAATATGTGTAGTTATATATGTACTGAAATATATATATTTCAAAGTCCATTGTCCATCATTGTTTTCTCCTCCGGCCTTGGGGACTCTGCTTCCTATTATCTGTTTGACTGGAGTATACTGCTCAGACTGGAGTCTACGGGTGATATAATCTGAATGCCTGCACACTCATATAGAGCTTTCTTTTCCCTGAAGGGTGAATAGTATTTAGACTGCATATAAGATTCTTGGGAGTGTAGACCCTTTCTTTAAATAATCTGCTTCTTACACCATCACTATAGTGTTGCAAATAAGAACAGTTTTGTTGTTGTAGTTTTAACTTTATCTTTCTTTTGTATCTTTATCTTCTTTTATATGTTTCTTTTCTTTTGTGTCATTATCTTTCTACCTAGGAGCTGTTAAGATTTTTTTCCCTCCTTTATCACTGAATTCACAAATTTTATCAGAAATGCCCAGGTTTGTGCCTTTTCTCACCAATCCTTCCTGGAACACAGTGAACTCATTCAATATGCAGGCTTTTCCAATCTTCAATCTTTTTTCAGTTTAGAGAATTTTTCTCCTAATACTCATTTCTCCTCCTAAAAGATTGCATTTTTGGTTTCCTGGATCTATCTTCCAAAGTCCTTCAACTTTCATGAGCTCCCATTCCAACTCTTGGTATTTTTGTTCTAAGCTCTGAAACTGTCATTTTTACTTGAACTGAGTTTTAAAGAAGTGGGCAGCAGAGATGCGCTCAAGCTGCCATTTTCCCAGAATCACTTCAAATCCGGTGTTTAAAGGCTATCTTATCATTCAAGTAGGGGGGAAAGTTTCTACATGCTCAAAAGACAATTACTTAAAATTAATATTTTTAAAATCCAAACAGCTATTTGTTGAGAAGTTATAGGACTGAAAGCTCCTTGTAAGCAGGGAATCTACCTCCTATGCATCTCTCATCCTCTCCATAGATCTTGTCGATAAATGTGCTCAATACATCTTTATTGATATACTGATACATTCAGCACCATCCAAGTTCCAAAAGGTAGACCTTGTCATTACAATCACAAAATGTAGAGTCTACCTGAGGGGGCAAAAATAACAGAAATGAAACAAACAAATAGCTGTCAGTTCAGTGTTAAATTGTTACTGAATACAACAATAGCCTAAAAATAGAAGAGATTAACAAGGACTAAAGTAGTCAGTTGGTTTCATGATGAAAAAGGGACATCAACAAGGCCGTGAAACACAAGTAAATTTTAGCAGGAGAAAAGGCAGTCCTGACAAAGAACATAGTCACTGCAAAGGCACAGGAATGGGAATGAACCAGTCGGGAAAGAGTGAAGAAACCAGCTGGGCGGTAATACAAGAGTCTGTCAGATACCAGCAAGGAAATAAGAGTAAGAAGGGAAGTTGCTGACAGAGTCTAGATTCACTCACTGGTTGAGTAAGTACTGAAAAGCACTCATGCTGAAGGATGCTGCGAGCTGTCCTCAAGCAGCTTGCAAAGGGAGGTGAGAATATGTATACAAATGATCATTTCATAACTTTAAGACAATATGAAAAACAGCTGTAATGTAGGAGTTACGTTAGAGATTAGAACTCAGAGAACCAACAAATGAGGAAACTGTCTTTTTTTTTAAACAGGAAGTTCATCTTCTAGGACTTCCCTTGGTCTCCTTGAAGAAAACAATAAGCAAAGAATCATGGGAGGAAAACTCATACCAATGCTTTTTCAATTTAAAAATGAAAGTTTCATCAAAGCAGAAAGGAAGTCCAATAAACAAAGAATGACAACTCATGACAATTTTAAGACAGGAAAAAAGAACTAACTATGTATGGTGACGGATGTTAACTAGACTTATTGAGGTGATCATTTCCCAACAAATAGAAATATCGAATCATTATACTGTACACCTGAAACTAATATAATGTTGTATGTCAAATATACCTCCATTAAAAAAAAAAATTAAGACAGCCTGCTTGCCTCAGTCACAGATTTACTAAACAAGAAACTACCAGAAGCTTCTCCTAATGATTCCTGTTGGGTTCACTTTTTAAAAAAGATTCAGTGACAAGACTGGCCAGCACTGTAATGCATTCATGCCTGACTGGAGTTAAAGCTCACAAGTTCCAGTCAGAATAAACTGAGAGAGACAACATAACCCAAACTCCTTAAAGAGAAAAAAACAAAAAACAAAAAACAAAAGAAAAACCCTACAGCTGCTTAAATTTATCACTAAAAGCCAGAGTCCTCTGAAAAGAGATATTAGAGCACTATTTCTTCACACACAAAAAAGAAATAATTCCAAGAAAAATCAATTAAAGTATATGTCATTTATAGAAATATCTGCACTAATTTAAACATTAATTTTAAAACCAAACACTAAATATCCTGAGGAAAAAAACAAAATGCTAAAAACTCTTTCTGAGCCAGAATGTAACCACAATAGTCTATCTAGTCCAGAAGCTCAAGTTCAGGGCACACCAACAATCTTTCAAAGATGCCAGATCTGTGGACTTTCATTTACGGCTGTCCTGTGTTGCATCCAAAATATTTTCCCTCTGGATTCTCCCTTTTCAGCTTCTCATCATCTCCATTCAGTTTAAGGAAGAAAAATTAATTTTACATCAAAATATAAATACATAACATTTACTTTCCAGGTAAACAGTCTTACAGGATTTTACTCAATATTTTTTGTTCTTTTAAAGAGTAATAAAGTCACATCTTGCCAGAAGTTAGGCTGACACAAAGGAAACCCTCCAAATACATTTTAGAGTGCTAACCCCCCCCCGGTTCTGGTAAAGCAAGGTCAGAAATAACCAACATCACTCCTATTTCTCTTAGATAAGATAGAACGTTCCATCCTTTTCTCTTCAG